TTTGATATGGTCCATTCCATTTAAAAAGGTACATAGGATTGTACGTATGAATTCTTGCCTCATAAATACTATTAAAAAAATTATTCCTCTACAAATTGTATGGCTATTGTTTAACCAACATAAATATTTAAGTGCCACATTAAAATGCCAAAATCAAGGAAAATATCATCAAAAATGGACTTGTCCCTGAGGCTAAAAGTTGAAATTTGATTTATTACAAAAAGTTGATAATGGATATGAGATTTAGGCGGTGCAAACTATACGGGGCGCGTAACAATGGAGTTCGGTACAACGAAAAGGGGAAAAAGATACATAATCTATGAAGGATACATATTGTACCTCTTTGCTAAGAACCTTAAACTCCAAAACTGCTCATCATGGCTGTGTCGAGCGAGAAGAGCAAAGAAGGATCCATCGGCTCTTAGTTTAACATGCAATGCCAGGATCTGGGTCAACGATGACAAGGTAAGATTAGCTAAACCGAGCACTGATTTTGGAAGTGCAGATGGTTTCCAGTTTCAAAGCCCTTAATTGGGTGTTTTATTAGTTAGGATATCGTCTTTTGACCTTTTGACTTTTTTATACATAAGTTTCATCGTTGCTTATACCGTCGTCTAATGTTAGTTTTTAGGTTCGGCCCTCCCTTGCAGAAAATTTAGTTTATCAACCTCTTCAAATTTCAATTTTACTCTAGAACCAACCAAGGATATGGTCGTTGGCCTTTCCAGTTTTACTGCCCTTTAGGGTTTTTAATTGTTTTCCATCTATTGTAAGTCTTATAGCTATAGTCTCTCCCCAATTATCTCTACCATCTTGTAGATCACCTGAAGGTGACCGTTGGTCGAAACATGTAGTGTATCACTTCGTTTTATTAAATTATATGGGAACGGTTTAGAGAACTTTTATTCAATATTAATAAATTATCCCATTTAGAGTTTGAACACAAAATGGACGACACGATTCCAAATTATACTTTAATATTGAAAGTATCCAAATTTTAAATGTAGGTATACGTCTATTACATGCACAAAGTAATAAAACGTGATATTGGTGAGTAATATTGGAGATTTCAAGCTCTGAGTTAATTTAATACTTCACAGCCGACTTTCTATGTTAAAAGTCAACCATACACAAAATACCATCTCAGGGGAGCGAAATTCTGGTGCGAATTATTCCGGTGCAAATTATCCGGGTGCGAATTATCCGGGAGCGAAATGTCCGGGTGCGAAATATCTTTGGTGCGAATTTTCCTTAGTGCGAAATATCCGGGTGCGAATTGTCCTACAACGTATTCAAGACTCATTGAAACTTTTCTCTTTTTACTATTTGCTCATCTCAATTTTGGAGAAAATTAACTTTCTATAAACCACTGAACCTACTACTCAAGCGGTCTCCAAAATAATTTCCACCATAATTGAGATTGGGTCCTAAAATTTTAGGTATTAGCACAGACATAGTATATGTTGTCTGTGGTATTAGGTTGGAGTTGTAGGACAGAAGAGATCTACCTACATATTTTACCCTTACAATAGAAAGCAATGTTGTGGTGGTAACCGCGGAAATACGGAAAATAATATGCTTATAAAATCAAACTTTCTTATTTGTAGACGGATTTTTTGTCTCCGTTATGCGTGGGAAAATTGATAATATTGCTCCATTTTCCTTTGTCTTCTCTTTTCTGTCTATGTTTAACTGTTCTTTGCATTTTTGCTTAGACTTATTAGTTTATTTCAAAAGCGGGTTGGTCCGATAGTTAAGGGTTAATTATAAATTATATGAATTATAAAATTGGGTACAAGAAAAGTGGTTTTGTAGTTCGCTGAAAAACAGCAACGTACTTCGCCTTCATTGTCGACATCATGCAACTTTCCATTGATAAATGTACAATTGAATAATCCCGCGTTATTGTTTTTAACATGCCAGCGACGTATTATCAAAGACTATCTGGAGGATTTCGCGCACTTTGATACCCAAATCTGCAAATTCTCAGATTTGCCTGTAACATGTTAGGTATTTCTAAATAACTTGAAAAATCTGTAATTTTACATAGAATGACAGTTAGATATGAAAAATGACCAAACATAGGATATTATAACACCTACACAAACACCTGCAATGATAATAGCATTCAAGGTGTAAATAGTCCATTTCGAAGGGTTTGCAGCAATTGGAAACCTACATAAACGTCTAGGACAACAAAACTTTTCATTGACGACCAAATTTTTGTTGAACTATTCCCAAATACTACAAATTGTTTCACTCCACTTTTCATATTACATATTTGAAAATCTGTTCGCAGCTATAGGCCAATTTCAGTTAAATGGTAATGTAAGTATACGTAAACTCGGCCATCGTGTGAAAACAACAATAGGCTAGTATTCTCCTGAGTAAAGGATTAATGGATTTCCAGTGTATCCTTTTAAATGCAGGAACACGCGTATATTCCTTTAATTCGGGCATAATGGCGTTATACAAATTTAATAGGAGCAAAAGCTTGCGCTTTTATTCTTTATGCAGAGATCAAAGATTGAATTCTCGGGATAATAAAACGCCCGGATTTTCAGATGAAACACCTCTAACACTTTCAGTTACCGCTTTTGAATTTCAGATATCTTGTTTACAACCTGCGCATGTAGTAAATGAGATGATGTATTTATCGAAACAAGAGCAAAGGAAATTATTCCCCGCTTGTGTAAAGTTTTTCCATTCTGATTTTTAATTACCTCGAAGCATTTAAAATAAAACTAATTTTTCCCAATGCGCTTTGATTAATTATAGAAAGACAGTCTTCCTGAATTTTAATCACTGGATTTGCTAACACGATGAATTGATACGGACGATTAGGTTCAATTTAATTATATCAACTTGCACAAACTTTGGTTTCTGTTAATTTGAAAGATTACTATGGTAATTATTCTCAGGCACGCGTATAAATCAAGAAAATCATAAGTAAAAATTGTATGCGGAGCAAAAGCGTTGTGTGACTATTTTTTTTGTATCTTTAATTTATGAAATACCAAATTTTTGTTGAATATGTTTTCTTCGTTTAACAATTAACTTGAACAAACATATTATTTTGACGGTTGGTACGACAGACATTTTTAAAATTTACTTGTTCGAATTTTACTTAAAATAAAACACACTATATAAGTTATGATTTTAATTCAGTAGCTGTTTAAATCAATTACAAATGAATATATTGTATGATGATGAACGAAAAAATTATTAAAAACTACATTTTGGCTATACTCTTTGCTGTTATATAGGCAACACAAATAGCACCTTTAAATTCTAAACTAAAATAGACGGTAAAAAATGAAAAGGATTGAAGTGTTCAACGTAAGTAAATGTAATAAATTTATGTGACAATTCAAGTCATGTATAAAAAATCACATAAGCCGCAGTGCAATTGTCACCTTGACAGCGACAGTTACCTGCAACCTTTCCAGCGACAAAGTGTTTTTTTCACTTATTCATTTTCTAACCAATTATCGCATTATCCATTTCCATATGATTAGTTTGACATTTGTCAATAATTGATTGATTTGGTGTCGCATTTTTATTAGTTGACAGTTTTTCTCGTCTAATTGCTAGGCAACAGATTTTCATTACCTTAACAACCCAAATTTACTCGGTAAAATACAAACCTCTTGTGCAATTATAAGTGATGATAATACATTTAGGTGGAACTACTACTAAATGCACTTTTTCAAATGTCCCAATCCTGAAGCACTTTCGGACATGATCGGGGTACTTTTCACAAGCTCACTGCAATAGGAGATTATAGCTAAAATTTGCAAATCCAGGCAACGGTTTTCCAGCAATAAACAACCACCGCGATTTAAATATGTTCAATTTCCGGGAAAGAATCACAATTGATTTGACGAGAAATATTTCATGTTGGAATGAGATTCACTTTGGTGGTTACCCTATAACGGTGGATTAAGTTGGAGCAGCTTTTATCTGACACCCGCCGCATAAGCGGCCAATTAGTTCAGGGTTAGGAAATAACAGAATATATAAGAATATAAGAATACATTCACCGAATAAAAGAAAAGCTTGAGAAACTTCTCAGCGGTAGTTTGTTCTGGGTAGATAATCTTCATTTTATGCTTAGCCAATTCGTGGGGGGCCCCCCTTTTAGACAGCGACATTTGATGGCCGTCTGGCACACCTTCAAGGTATAGGCTACCTACTGCAAAAAATTCCAAGACTCTAGGACCATTTCCCTAGAAGTAGTACGAAACGGCAGAAGTGGGTCCGGACGGACGGACAAAACGCAAACAATAGCACATTTTTTAAATTCTTATAAAAAGGCGCTAAAAAACTAGGAAAAATACAAGCGAGGCAAGCAGTAATAAAGCCATAAAGCGGGTATCTATTAAACTTGAATGACAATCAAGATCAAATTAGCAATTGAAATCTACTCTTTTTTTGTCAGTCTTCCTAAGTGTCCAAGTCTCACATCCATATAACAAAATGTAAACGTTATTTTCTTACCGATTGACATTCCTGCTTTAAATTTAAGAAACTTTTTGATTATTATTCTCGTTTATATTCGATATTCTGATGTCATCTAGGTATTTCCTTTGTTCCTTTTAAATGTAAATTATTCTTGTAGTAAGAGTTCTTTTGCATAGTTCTCATTTTTGCCGTTAGAGGCCACCCGAGTGTTATAAATGTCTTTTACAATACTCCTTTGTCTTACCGCTAGAGTTCACGCTTTGTACCTTTCTCCACGTAATGCTGTCCCTCCATTAATTCGGTATTGCGCGCAGTTGCATTTCTTTTCCTTTCTGTGAAAATTCGGCGATCGTATTGGTTACATGCACATATGTATATCTTTGCAGTGGTTTTTCTTTCTATTTTTGATGTCTGTGGCTGTGCTCTATTGAAGCGGTTTTACGGATTTGCATTTGCATATAAACAGTACGAGGTATGTTACTTAGCATTTTTTCTTAATACGTTTTTTAGGGTTTTACCATCCCTCAAACTTTGTGTATACAGTACACTCTCGATAATGTGAACACAAAAATCCAGACAGATGTTCAGACTATAGAGTTTGTTCACACTAAGGGGGGTGTGCATAATAAGATAAAATTTGCGTTTTTATACATATACATAATTATGTATTTAATAGAAAAAATAAAAATAACAAAAGTACATATTTTCTTAAAAAAAAGTGAGTACATATGTAATTATTTGGGTATTTCTTTGGAAAAATAATCTTGTATTTTCGTTTGCTGTCTCTTTTGTGATATTTTTGCCATTACAGCCTTTTCATGGATCTTTTTCAAAACCATTAAGTCGCTAATGTGAATTGCATTTTGTTTTGACCACTCTATTGTGGTATCTAATGCTTTTAATACTGCACCATGTGCTATTTTCACGATTGGTGGTTCGTTCTCTTCTTCCTCGCTACTGTCTGATTAATCTTCCACTTCTATTGTGTTTTCTTGATTTAAATCTTCATTCCATACTTCAACATCTGTGAATTCGTACTCGGCAGGCGCTACTTCATCAAGCAGTGAAATCGTATCCCTTACGACAGACACTACGCATATCAACATTTTCGTTCCTCCATCTTTGTTGTAAAATATTCAGCGGTACCTCGTCATCGGGATCATCAGCTGCATTGTCGGACACATCATTGTTAGGCATTACAACGTTCCAGCATTTTTTGATAGTGGCTGGTGTTAATTTATCCCAAGCAGACGACAGATGAAGAATTGCGTCTCTCAATGTAATTTTTTTTAGTGCTGTGGCTATTGATTCCTCACTTGCTGCGATGCTGCTTAGCAAGCTATTCCTGTAGTATAATTTTGTAAGTCTTAGGATATTTTGATCCATAGGTTGTAATAAAGGCGTAACATTTGGGGGGAGGAACATAACGAAAATCATGCCATCTGCAGTTTTGAGTTCTTCAGCAGATGGATGAGAAGGCGCATTGTCTAAAAGTAAAACTGCTTTTTGTTGCAAATTCATGCTTCGCAAAAACGATTTCACCTCCGGGACAAAGTTTTTAAAGAACCAATCTTTAAAAATTTGACCTGTCATCCGGGCTTTTTTGGTGTTCCTGTAGATCAAAGGATTTTTGAAATTCTTGAAGGATCTTGGGGCATTAGATTTTCCGATTATTAATGGTTTTAATTTATGGAGGCCAGAAGCATTTGCACATCCTAAAAAGGTTATCCTCTGTTTTGATGTTTTCATTCCAGGAGCAGTTTTTTCATTGATGGAAACATAGGTTTTATCTGGCAATAACTGCCAGTATAATCCCGTCTCGTCGGCGTTATAAATTTGGTTAGAATTAAGACTGTGCTCTTCCATCATTTGTATAAATTTTTGCTTGAAGGGATCGACCACTTCGGGATTAGAGGATAACCTTTCGCCAGTAATTTTCAAAAATCTTACACCATGTCTACTTTTAAAACGGTGAAGCCAACCCTCACTGGCAGTGAATGTGGGAATGTTTAAATTTTTGCCTATCATTAATGCTTTTTGTTTAATCATTTCTCCTGAGATCGGTAAGTTGTGTTCCCTTTGCTTGAGGAACCAGCTGTATAATTGTTTCTCTAACTTTGGATTTTCCGATTTTTTGAGAGTGCATTTTTTTGAAGGTTTCAACATGTTACTGACCACTAAGAATGTTTTGTTGTTTCTTTTTGAGAGAACACACTGTAGATTTAGCAATACCGTATTTTTTAGATAATGAGGTAACACTCATACCTCTATTATGGTCATCTAAAACGCGCGCTTTTTCACTTAAAGGTAGACACTTTTTTTGTAATTTAGGCATTTTTATTATGGCACAACCACACACAACGTTCTAATCAAGTGATATAAATAGACTAATGGAAATTTACATGATAAATGGCAAGGGCGCAGGTATTCACGCAGTTCATATTATCGGGGGTTGCCGCTGTTCACACTATGCGGTGTCCAATGTTAACAATTTTGATGTTCACATTAGCGAGATGTTCATATCAACGCGTATTTACATTATCGAGAGTGTACTGTACTTTTCTCTTAAGTTCTCATCGTTTTCTCTTTTGGATTATCTGTTACGTTATCTACCTGGATATTACTCATTGGTTATTACCTACGCTATGTGATACCGCAGTTTTACCTGAACTTGCCATCTTATTAGGATTGGTATTAGCGCGCGTCACGCGATGGATGTTTCTACGTTACCGGCTTGAAAAATTCTACTACGATATTAACCTGGCGAATCTACTTCATTCTACCAAGATTACTACCTACTCGCAGTTTATACCTGGAAATGCTCCTGAATTGTAACCGCAAGTGTAACAAAACGTTTGGAGATTAATCTTGTAAATTGCTCCGATATATCTGATTTTACTTACACTACTTATTTCGCTACGAAGAGTATATCTTCCGAGACCCGATTTTGTGACACCAAGAATCAATTTCTCTTAGCTTGATTACTTTGTATCCGTCAGATTGCCTGTCTTATACCGATATTAGTATCGTTGCTTTGTGAATTATATTTTGAGGTTACCGAGACTTGGTCCGAGACATACATATATCAACGAGCTTTAGTTACGTTATTTGCTTTACTCCGAAGAATTTGCTCATGTGATCCTGTTATAATTTTGAATTGGTTATTTATTTATTTACCCTTAGTACCGCAGTCGCGCTTCTAGCCCCCTGTGCCTCACGGGTCGGCATCTGTGCAACGTAAAGTACTTTTCTCGAATTTAGCGTCACGTTCATACGTTTATACCAGAATTGTACGGGATATCCGTGGTCGAGTCAAACATTTTCTTTCGGTTAGATAACGCAAATTGTATTATTTGTACTAAGTATTAATTAGGGTTTAGTATCGGATTTTCTCAGTGAATTGCTATACCTCAATATTTTATATGCCGCGCTATTCACTATCCCTATTTTTTGGTTAAGTTGCCATCTGTTACAGATTAGTCAGAAAGCTCCCTTTTGAGCTCACGGGGTTGTGAATTGAAGTTCAAAGGTAATTTTTTTAATTATTTTCCACGACTCCTTGATATCACGTTTGATTACATACTGATACAATAGCATTATAATTACTACCTTTGTTTATCATTCTTTTTTTACTAAAAAATCATTAAAATTTTAACCAAAGCGCAATAGAATGCCCTACCCACCATAGATGAGCGATCCGCCGTCTTCAAGAGGTCGGTGGGACTTGATGTAGGGGTGACTTCTTATACCAAAAGTCCCCCAGTCTCCTGCCAATTCCTTGTTAGTTAAAACTAACCTTCGTAAATAGACATTGACAATAAGAATGTCAGTGGCGCAAGTTTTAGATAACGGAATCCGTTTGCAATAAAATAAACGTAGCGTGTGAAATTCTATTACACTGACCCGTATAACGCTTTTTAGAGGTGCCCCTGCAGAAGGTCTTAAGTTGTTCTATACTACTGCGATATTTACCTTACGAATTAGGAAAACTGCGAGAAAACCTAATTCGGAAGAGCCGGCAGAATGCTCGAAACTGATCTAAGGAAATTCCTATCTCTGCCACAGATGAGAAATTCCTACCTCAGCCCAGGTTCGAACACCCGACCTTCGGTTTTGTAGCCTAACCTACAAAGCTCAAAAGATTTTCCACGCATATCACAATTTAAATGAACTGCACGTCTACATGAAGATGACTACGATCGAATTGGATTAAATAATTAAGAAATTGAATAATATTTGATGACAAACGCACTTTTTTTCTGAAAGGGCGAGTCATCTAAATCCAAATAAGTGTCCTGAGATTTGCTGGGATATGCTTCATATTAGCAACCTTGCGTTGCGGCATTTATGTACTGAACAATTAATTACCAAATAAGATACCAGGGGAAAGTAGAAATATTAACGAACCCTTACGCTTTATATTCTTGCAGTTCTTATGGAGTTGAGGTGTGTGTCAGTCGAATTGATGGATCACTGGTTTGTCGGCAAACTGATTTACACACGTAACGATATTTTTGGTGGTTAGGACAGGCGAATACATCAAACGCAGTGGTACAGTAAATCGAAATCGCAATTTTCTAAAAAGATTAAATTAAATGTTCCGATGTGAAAGTGATAAATCGCAATTCGATGTATCGAACTAAGTAAGACGGTCCCATCGACTGTGCTTACGTTGTACATTTAAATCGTGTTTGTCGGGAAATGGCTTGGATCAACTAAGAGTTACGTTCCCTATAATCATCAGTTCTATCCAAGTTCAAATATCCATTTGTTCTCTATGTTCTCTATCGTAACTCTAAGTTACTTACTAAAGTTCAGATTTGTGCAAAAAATGAACCAATTTAATGTTAATTATAAATCTCGCACTGTTAATTTATTTAACCGTACAGACTGTTTTGAGATGAAATCTTGGTATTTCGTAATTAAATTACCATTGTGTCAGAACCAGTCCACAGTCAAAATTAATTAAAATATTATGGCGGACGTGATCTGTTAATGACATCTATTGTCTTGCTTTAACTTTTGAAATTATCCCACTACTGGCCCTACTAATTAAAACAATCAAATCTCACTCCTCTCTCTTTGTAACTGATTTATTCAGTTATGTAAACAATTAGAGGGTAGAAAATTATAAACATCAAATGGAATAGTGTTCGAGTAACAGCAGTTGACCGAAGCTGTAATTCGTTTTCCAACTCTGATTTGTACAAAAGTTAGTTAATAATGCAGATTGAAAAACACCATACCTTGTGGTTCATTATTAATTAAAACACTTGCCTGCTAATTATCTGCTATGGACGATTACGTATTTTAGTGAGTGACAATATTTGAAATTATAATTTGTCAATTTCAATTACGTAGCTATAATAGTTTGGTTTTTTATCCATCCGTGCCCTTAACGGACTTACTGACAAGTGGGAAAATTAATTTGCTAAATAGTTATAAAAAAATTCAATCTGGTCGTCCAGCCACCACGACGAATCTCGATATTGACGTAAATATTGTTCATTTGAGAAATTAAGGAGCATCAACAGCCACAATTCCAAAGAATTAATTAACCACTTTTTAATTAACACCTGATGTAATTTTGGGTATGAAATAGAAAAAGTTAACATGGAAACTCTTCTCTAGGTCGTAATTTGGACTCGATTAAACGCAAAACTAGCCATTTATAGATGAAACCAATTTATTCAATATAAAATAATCAAATAAGCGGATAAAAACAGGCACTCAGGGAAAACAACAAATACCACGCAACAAGCGATCGATAGAATAAACACTAACACAGAACGCAAGGTGCTGTTGTTTTCGAAACTTCAATTACAGCACTCGAATCTCGATTTAGACGACACTGGTTCGTTACATGTAAACTTGACTTTTTGATGTTGAAAAAAAGCCGTTAATTGGTGCTTGAAGACCGTATGGGAAGGATTCCTTTCGACAAACGTTCGAAGAACAAGACACTCCGACTATTTAATTAGTTTTATTTATTTGTTTAACCAGACACCAAACAGAATAAGAAAATTCTAACTACATGGCACTGGGGGAGGAACATACGTTAGGTCTTAGGATCTAATTTGATTTATTATGACATTTAGGGGATCGTAAAAAAAATCGATATTATTCTCTGAGGAGAACTTATTTAATCTGATCAGGATCCTAATAAGTGGGGGTAGTTGTGTTGCTCTGCAAAAATAGTATTATTTTTCCTGAGTTTAAGAAATGGTACCTTCAGGGTAATTTCTTGAAGTTATTCGGAAGAGTTTATCAAATTATGTAAAATTTTGAAGACAAAAATTGTGGATGCCATGAACCATCCGGTTTCTAACCCCGTTATTTTTAAGCCGAAAGTATTATTTAAGTAATTAAGCTGGATACCGTAAGAGATCAAATGTGGATAATTGGGTGTTGACCTAACATTATTCGGATGAACTTTTTATGCACTTTTTCGATCATGTGTGAGTATTTGAGAGTTTGAGGAAACCAGATACATGCAGCATACTCATGCTTGGATCTAATAAACACTTTATCTAAGATTAGCCCCTTCGTAAAGCTCACAACTTTAAATACTCACTTTAAACGACTTATTGTATAGATCTCTTATCGCACAACTAACATTCGTCTGCAGAACTTTACAATTAAACAAGACTAACTGTCTTTTATGCGCTCAAATACGGAAGCGTTTCAACAACGATTTACGTCCACTACTAAAGAAGCAACTACTCACTCCCGTCTCTCCTATTTAAAACAATTTCCCTTTCTTTTCAACTTCTACCTCCACTTCCTTAACAAATTAATGCGTCGTTCAACGATACGGTCATTTCTGAAACTGATTAGCTTATGCCGCGATAACATCTTATCTACTACCGGAGAAAATCCTAGGCAATTATTTCAAAATGTGCAAATCTAGTCTTTTAACACGTAATAAAATTGATCGAATCTTGCGTCCAATCCGAAATACCTAGAGGATTGTTGTGAGATTAATCCCGTACGTAAATAGAGCGAGATCCCGCGGGATTTGCAGGATTGCGGAATTTATCGACCAAGCTTATTACCGGTACGACGATGTTTAATTTGTTAATAAAACGCGTAACGGAGAAGTGCAGATACTACCTACGTAGGGGATTAGATTTCCGTTTTCCCATGTAACTCCATGAATTTGACTATATCGCACTTTTTATTGTTGCAGTTCATGCAAAAATTCCGCGCTAACTTGCATCTGTTATTGTCTGCTAAAACTAAATGCGCAAATTTGACTGATTTTGCTACTGTTTTATTAAAGGTATATACCATTATTCTTATAGACAATATGTCGAACTCTTCGAATGCTTATAAAGACTTTAGCAGTAAAATGAATGTAGATATATAATTATAGTACCGAGTATTCTAGAAATCCACATATACATGGAGGCGCCATACAGATTAGTCACCGGTGGCAACATGACGCATTTTTTCCGGGAAATATGATGTATTTAGTTTAAGAGTATTTTGTTAAATGAACAAAATTGCGTATTTCCCAATATATTTAAAATGTTGAGGGATTTAACGTCTAACGATCCAAATCCAACAAATACCAAGATAGAAATTTTGCTGCGGGATTCCATTCCCTAATTTTAACATTAAGAATAATTGAAATGCACATACAGGGTTCACACAACAATATATATGTATACCTCGATTACACAGGATGTAACAAACAAGTAACTCACTAAAAAATTGGGTGGTAAGTGGAAGAATAAGAAACCTTTTCTTCAAACCAACTGAATGTCCAAATGATTCGGTCCCCAGAATTAAAGGAGTCTTGTAAAGGATCCTTATTTATAAAAAGGTTGAGAACCACTGATCTAAACTCTAAAGCATTGTTCCTATCACTAAGGCATTTGATACAGCAAATTTCGATCCACACACTTTCCAGTTCTTTCTTATTTAGACTCATATCTCACGAGCAGCGTACAAGTAGTTAAATACTCTCGAAACCCATAGTCGTAACATCAGGTGTACCACAAGGAGCTCATCTTGCTCCGTTATTATTTTTGATGTTTATAAGCGATATAAAAAATGTATTGCAATTCTTAAGTGGGGACTTTCCGATGAAATTTTATCGACTAATAGAAATTCAAAATAGCAATTGTAAAAATGATCCTTATTGTGGTTTTTTGGAAAGACCAATGACAAAAAATTATACCTATTCAATAGGATCCTCGAACTCGTCCAAAATTGAGTGGCGAAGGTTTTTTTCTTTCGAAAAATTCCCATAAACAACGCGATCACCTTCAGGAATTATGTATTTTAGTCACAAAATATTGGATCCTAATTTAGGAAGAATAAATTCGTCTTTTAACTCAACCAATGCAAGTTCAAAACTATGTATGGCACCTCCATTACAAATAGTGTAGGTATAGTAAACGACGACGATAGGTTCGAATAATTATTGACTTTTAACATACCGTGTACTTGATTACTAATTTAGAGACTTTATAAACTACACAAATCTAGGGTAGGTAATAAGAGAATGTCTTTCCGTTTCAGACTCCATAGACTTAACTTTAATTTGATGGGTCACACAAAATGTAATCCTATTTAAAGCTTTAAATTCATATACCTACCTATATCTCCCTCGCATAATATGTCAGCTTGGGTTGTTCGATAAAAAGTCACCTGAAGTACCTGAAAACTCAGTTCATAAAAAAAAACAGATAAAAATTGGTAGGACTAAGTTTACTCCACAAAACAGTAGTGATGAATACAGCAGATACGAAATTAGGGTAATACACATTCACTATATTCAGGCACGCCTCATATATTAATTCAAATTTATTTTTCACTTAAATTTTGCAATTTCTATAATGAAATGTTATCTCTTTCATCATAAATTTACGGGTTAATTTGTTTTTGTTGAATTTATCTTCTGTTGACGTCTACAATGAATTGGGTATAAAATAATGAATTAGGGGATGTGCATTTAATTTATTTGGCTTGATTCAAAGTGCGATAGTTCTTTATTTATTGTACCCTGTCTGTGTTCAGTAAGCACGTATAGCTACCGAGCATCTATTAGGGCGCTTCTTTAATCATATTTAGTTTATTCTTACGTTATAAGTGCATAATAATGTAATTTTTGTTTTCGCTCATCAGAATTTGAAAAGTAGGGTTCTCACTGGGTGTTTAAATACATCATACACCTACATCCCCTCTTTTCCACAACAGCTTGAAATTTGCGGAACATAACAACGCCTCAAACATCCAAAGTTTTAACATTTATTGTTTCGGTAAGCTTTGATTATAGATATTTAAAAGCGGATAGGATCACCATCTCTTTAGAGCATTTTCCCAAAGGAAAGTTGCGCAGTTGCTTTAAATATACCTAACCGTAACCGTGTTCGTTTTTCGTTAACTTTATCGATATTTAGATGCGGTTTTTTGCGTCCCATTCTGCATTTAGTAAATTTTTGCAACTAAAGAATCATTACAGCAAATTAAGGCTGCATTTTTATGTTTATATTCTTAACAATTTTGGAAACATTTTGAGAAAGTTGACTAAATCGCTTATTCAGTGGCTTGGAGTAGATAAGGCCAATTACTTTTTATCCTAGGCTGACAGAGATTCTTCAGCCCTGCCCTTTGCTTCCGTACGCTTAACTTAACTTAACCTTTTTTTTTGGACACTAAAAGAAAGACTTATTCTTTCTATATGCACTGGTAAAATGGGCTGTCATAACTTGAACGGTTTCCATGTAACCAATTTTCAAGGTAAGTCTACATCCGCCATTTTTTTTAAAACATCTATTGTAGATATCAACATGTGGGTGTCAAAAGCACTGAAATTTCACAGCATCTAAAAATGGAATAAAAACATGGGTTGATGCCATTTAAAATAACGACGGCATTTCCCGAAATGCTATGATTTTGAAAATATTTTATAAAATTTATGGATTCCGCCTCCAGAGTAATTCCTAAGTGCAAATGTTCTAAAATCTACCTATTTCGCTTTCCCAGAAACGTTTAACTAAAGTTCCCAAAAAACACCCAGTATTCTATATTAATTTTAAGCCTCTCCCTTTTTTTATATGATTCGATACTGCTAATTATACAACTAGATATACACACCAGTCACCGCTTAAATAACACTAGTTACCTGGGAAAGTTATTACTTATTGTAGATTTTAACACATCCCAATAGCAACTTACACTGCGTATGCGTATGATCTTGAGATAAATCTCCAGATCTTGAAATAAGTCAGAAAAACACTAACTCACCTTTTTTTAAGACATAAAGACACTATATATGTTTTTCTAACCAAAACGAACCGCTTATGTCGAACGAAAATATCAAACTAATTTTCGCAGTCTGATAAGTGTTGACCCTGACTTTAGTGAAACTGCTCTATTTGTAATCTTACGTATTACCAATAATTTTTAGTAACCCCATTCGCTTTTGAATATTTCACACTTCGAATGTATGACATTTAAGATACAAAATGCGAAAATGGCCTCTATACGAACATGGTGAAGACAACCTGATATCAGATGTTTAGAGGAATTTTTACAAAGAAAAAAAATTCTCTTTATGTGGTGGTTTTGTCCGTCTGTCCATCTGTTCCTTGGCTAACTCGACAATGTCAAACCTTCGCCAAACGATTTCCACGAGTTCAAGGATCAGTTCTATTGAATATGAGCCGGATTAAAAGTCTGATTTCCGTATGCAAGCTGAGTGACAAAAATTCACCTATTGAAAATCGTACTTCTTATCTTGTTCTAGTTTGTGGCACTACGTTCAGTGTAGATTTAGAGGTGTATCCTCGTAATAGACTATTAAATGTTCAGAGCATTTTCGATCTTTAAAGGTGAAGGAACTGATACATGTATAAATTGTTCGATCATGGAAATACTTGGATGACTAGGTACATTAGGAAATGTGCATTTATATTGGCGTTATACACTGAGCATGAAATTGTGTAATTAATTGTCATGTGACGTGCAATCGTTCTGAAATACTAACCCTTGCCCTTTCAATTTTATTAATATGTCATAAGCATAACCTATATTTTTATTTAAAATGTACACTTGAATCAGACAATAGATAATAAAAACACACATTTTAAGTTTGGCTTCATTTAGACATTCAGTGTTTGGTTTCGAACTAAGAAAAAGACTCGCTTCCAGATCCGCCGGATTTATGGACAACTTTTTCTCTAATTTTAAAATTAACTGCGAACTTAAGCTCCATAACAAAAGCTTCACGTAGTGTTAACTAAAAATCAATATGAAAATAGGTCTGCGGATAGCATTTAGTTTGTGAATAACTTACGTGATGCTGCACCGCCGTTTTCTTCACGTTCCATAGAAACTCAAGAAGTGCTACCGAGAGAGCGCTTATCATCCCACCCACGAGAACAACGAATACTCCGCCGACATTTGAAAGGCCCAATCTAGCGGCTGATTCAGTTTCTAAACTTTCTTTCTGAAATTAAGGATTAAATTTCAGGCGAATTAGTCACTCTACTGAAATTGGACCCGAAAAGCGTTTCGAGAGGAAATAAATTTCCACTTAACGTTCTAATGTTTTGCATATCGTTCTAACACACGGAGGCTCAGGCATTTTCAATTGAATTTCAAAACCTATAAATGTATTATGAAGTCAGTTATTCCATGTGCGAAAAATTAGAGATTCGAAACAATGGATAAACGAAAGCATAATTATTTCTTTGTATTCCCAAATCGGTTTCAGCCAAATTGAATAAATTCCTCCACATATAGGTGAAATTTAAATTACTAAGACGCGGGCGTGGTGGAAATGAGGTCCTTATATTCTAAAATATGAATATGTCGCGAAAATGAATACAAATGGAATCAAAACGATGAATTGGTACTTGCCTCGCATTTTCCTTTCCACCATTTCTCTTTTAGTTCGTGCAATTTTCCCAATTCCTGCATTTTCAACACAGCGCCGCTTACCTCGGTTCTATAAATTGAATCTGAAAGGGAAAGTTATTTTTTGTTAGTTACAGTTTGATTGAGTTGAAGAGAGATTTGAAAGAAAAAAAATCGAATGAAACCTTTACGTATGACTTTAAATTTTAGGGACATAAAACGATTTCCGGATTTTCTCGTTTTTTAAATAGAAGTAAGGCACGAATCGCGTTCTCATTGTGATTGCGGTGGCAGTATTATGTCTTTGGAGGGAGAAAGAAAGGTTTCCATAAGTGTTTTGGGGTGCATGCACGATAACAATAGTTTCAAAGTACGCAACATCTCGCTATTTCGGTTATAAGTACGTATTTAACGAAAGGCTTATTTCTTATTATCCTTTATGATCTATTGCTACGTTCAATCACGCTTTTGCGCTACATGACAGGATTGAGCCCGTTCCAGATTTGGAGACTGAATCTAATACTGTAGCGTTTATTTTATGAATCGAACTTTTAGTTTACACAATCCTATTTTGAAACAAAGAATGGATGGCTTATACTCTCGGTACCATAATAGACAAACCACGTTACTCAATATTTGTAAAAATTGGGCAATCTAAGTACAATTCTCGTGAATTTGCATGGATTAATTTAATTTCAACAAATGTCTGCTAGTTATCGTGTCGGATTATGGTATGGAAATATAACTAGGCATTATGTTTGGATGATAATATCGGCTGGTATTCACATTTGGTATTAGTGTTACATTTGATGTTAATGAAGTAGACAATGATTGCACAAATCTTTACTACAGTTCATTAATTACATGGTAATGGTATTTGAATGCTTTTGGTTTTGATTACTGTACGCCATTTTAACTATCAGTTAAATTTTATTTGTATGCCCAGAGTTCATTGTATTCAATGACAGTGATGCTTAATTTACGTTAGCATGTCATGAGATTTACAAGTGCGTGCTAGTTACGGATATTGGAGTAATGCCTATAGTATCTACAACTATAGTTTCTACAACCAACACTTTTCCCTTACACATAATCATCAGTTAAAGTATTTTTCATTCGTTTTAAAAAAATTTCTTACTCAGTACCAAGTTTTTGAGGAATATAATATATTCATTAAAAGATGTCGCACTCAGGAGATTAAAATTATATCGAAATAGATACACGACATAAATTAAATCCTGAAAACATTTAGACTGTATGGTATGGTTAATAACAAATCCTGAAAACATTTAGACTGTATGGTATGGTTAATAACGTTTGATGCAATTTTGCCGGTGAGTTTTTTTCTTATGAAGCCCTAAAGTTAGCGGAAAACCCAAAATATTATAGGGATGAAGTCATAGGATTAGGTCCGGGAGAAAGTGAGATTAACGAGAGTGTGTTAAATTCAAACACTTTATTAAAAAAAATTCACAAATTTCGCAATCCATGCAACCATCGGAGACATTGAAAATGATAACCATATAACCTATAAAGCCATATGTAAAACACAAATAACCCTTATCCATCCGGACTCCCTCGCAAGCTCGCTCGGGTTCAAACGTAAACTTTCTGAATAAGCGTCGAAAATAAGGGAAATAAAATAACATTATATCGACTTTCTAGTTTCTACTCGAAATAAAGTGGGCGGGTTATTCGAAATTCCATGTTTGCCATGGAAATGTTACTCGTAACCTTACAAACAAACTCAGAAATGTATCGATAATGTTGGCAATATCTAGCATCTAGCAAGTGTCAAAGGTACTCAGATCTTCTACCCATTTGTGCATGTACTTTCAATAATGCTGCGATTAAACAAAGGATCAGATATGGCAACATACACTAAATTACACGAGATTGTACAGAGAGATAGATACATGCCAAAGAAACCTGTTGCATTTACAGTTTCCTGTTTCCTGTAAATGCAAAAGATTTCTTTGTCTTTTACCCTTTGTTTAAAGCATTCATTCTATTTTTTAATCGCGGGATTGTTTAAAGTTTTGAATGCATCAAAGGGTAGAGGATTTAAATACATTTGACATTTCCTTCCCAGCATTACGGATGCACTTCAAACTTTGTTCGCAAGATGTTTCTTATTCATCCATTGCAAACAACTTTTCAAATTCCTTGTAATAGGCTTTACTGGATTTTGGACTTTTCTTCTGCTTCTGCAACAAACCACTAAATGAAATCTTTTCCGTCGAAGTTGTTTTATTTCTAAAGACGGCGAGTTTTAGAAACAAACTTGAAGATTTCGAATAAACAGCCCACTTAATCAGAAATGTATTTAGGTAGTCGCTACGATTTTATTTTGTTGCTAATATTTAATTCTTGCAGGTAGAATAAAACATACTATAAAAGTTTTAAGTCTTTTACACTTGTTTCTTAATATATTATCAAAAATCAGTCGCAGTATTTATTTTATGTTTTAGTATCTACTTGATCAGGTGATCCAAATGTGACGAAAGCTTAAAAGTAACTGAAAGACCTTGAGGGCGGCTTGAATTAATCTGAAGAGGAACGCGAACGAGATTTCAGGAGAATTTAAGGAGAATCTAGTAGGAAATTGCAGAGAAGATGAGAAGGAATTCGACCTTAACAAGAAACTCAGAGGAACAATGAAATATAGGGAAACTTAATGAGAACTTGATGAAGGAATGGAGTAGTGAACGTGAGAGGAAGTAAATTTTTTGACGAACTTGCAAGAAGCTTATGAGGAATGCCAAGGGAATTTGAGGAGAACTTTAAATAAACCTGAATTTCATGAAAACTTGAGAGAATGTTAAGGGAACCTGAGACCTAGCCTGAAACAATCTTGAGAAGAAAAGGGGGTGAACCTGGACAAGGCATTGAAGAAAACTAAGAGACGCTTTAAAAATGATTACGTTTGAGGTGAAAGATAAAAGGAATTTATAAATTTGAAGTTGAGAAATTTAAGGGAACTTAAGATGAATTTGAATATAAAAAGTTGCAAATAACTTGAAGCGAAGTTAATAAAAAACTGAAAGAAGTTTGGGAGGAAGTTTAGAGGAACTTAGAAGAAATTAAGGGAGCCTCAATGGGGTGTAAAACATCCGAGGAGAACTTTAGGAAGACTTGGACGAGCATAACTTATACGAATTTAGAAAGAATTTACTGGAAATAAAATATTTCAAAACAAACTGTCTATTGTTATAGTGACACCCTGTATTTGGTTAGAAAGCTTAGAAATTTCATAACCAAGTGTCACTTGAGGAGGGTTATATATCATATTATAATTTTAAAGTTACGTTTGGATACAATCCAACCAATCGTATTATAACCGTTGTTTTGACAGTAGAGAATACTTGGGAGAGTTCTCATTACAAAAAAATGGGAGGGGGGGGGTATATCCTAGGTACGATCCTAAAGGAGGCGATTAGGCTGGTCGCGTCGCATAATCATTAATGATTTTATGATCTCCTGGATGCCAGTGGATCAAATCTACCCCCTAGCCCATTGAGGGTAAAGTTATTCTTTTTCATAATACGATTCCAAGTATTCCTTTCACAAATCAATTCAAAAACTGTTAGGTAAGTAAATCGAACGAAGCGTAATTATTTTGCAAACATGCGACGTATGAAAGCATCGTACCACAAATTTATTTAGTGGTGCTTAACTTTCAAATCAACTTGGAAATGAAAGCGGGAGCAATCTACGATTATGAGCTGTTTTTACGATGGTAATCACGAGATTAGTTTACTTTCGGCAAACCTCATTTATCTTAGTGCTCATCTAAACATACTAGAACTCCCAAGATTTCGATATGCGATTTGTTTGTTATGACAAGGAACCTATCGCAGTTGGTCGTATAATCAAATTAATTTTAGGCGAACTGTTTCTATGGCCGTGCTTTTCCGTTCCATTAATATTGCAGTAGTTACGAGTAGAGTCCCAGAGGGAAATGTAATATCGAAGCGAGAAGTATAGTTTAAGTGTTTCCGCTTTGATATTTATACGATGTGTGATAGGTACTTACTAACTGGCATGGCGATTCCATATCCCTTAATGTCAAGCCAACGACCGACTTCCTTCAAATCGCAATGTCTGTTTCTTTCAAACTCCAACGACGTACTTTCCATTAGAAAAGCGAAAAGTCCTTTACTTGCACGAACTCTTTTAACACCGTCCGAGTTAGTTCTTTCGAAAGGACTTGGTACATCTTGCTGCATCTGTGCCCACATTCGCATATATAGCGATACGTTAGATTCCTTAAAAAACGTTTCTGTAGCGCCCTTTTCCATCATTCCGTATCGTATTTTCGATTGGGTTGCTAAATCCTCCGCGCTTTCTATAGTGGGACCCATACGTTCCATAGTTAAGAAGGCGGCCATGTTAGCGGTATACGAAGCGGTTATAATAAGGGAGAAAAACCACCACATTCCCGTCACCATTCTCGTTGATATACCCCTTAAAACAAAAAGATCATTATTGTATATGATGATGGTGTCATATGCACTTCAAAGCGATACACACAGCGGCCTGTAAGGACACATACATTTTTCAGTTTCAATTTCTTTTAATATTAAAAATGTACGTTAGCAACCTCAGCTCCAATCTAATAATAAAATTAGAAGTGAGCACGTTACGTTAAAAGGAACATAAAACATTCTAAAAACCTTCAGAACCAAAATAGAAATGGCATTGCATTTCCATGCAAGACTTTGCAATTATATCCCTTTAAGCAGGTTAAATTAATGTGAAAAAATTTGCATTATTCCTAAGGTCACTCCGATCATTTTGGAAGGAACGGGAAAATAATACCACCCTCTGTTGTTCTGAGGGAGAGTTACAAAGATGCACCCGCGACAATACAACAATTCAAATTTATCAAGAACTATTTCTTTAAATAAGTATATCAATCACTGCTTTTGTAGTATGTAGTTGTTGGCTGTACTGTGGTCGTTAATGTCATTAATAGCGTGATAAATCGAATGATTACCACTGCTTTAATGTCGTTGTTTTAGTTAAGTATGGATATTAAAATCCGTTACAAACACGCTACTATTGATAGTAATAGTAACACATGTACTTCCTTAATCGACACCCTCGGTCTATAAAATAGCACAGTACCATTATTTTACTCACCTCTACCAGAGTTAAGTAGACCTAACTACTTGGACAATGGGTCTTATTAGAAAGGTGCTTAATACCAAGTACCAAAAGGACAGTTCCGACGAAATTACAAATTTGTACAGCTGCTGTGTTGTGAGTACTAATAACGGCCATATAATTTTAATTGGTGAAAAACACATCTTGATAAAAGTTTAAAAAGGAAGGCCGTTACAATTATAGTAATAGTAGTTTAGATTGGAGAATGAAATAGGTACTATGGCAGTAGTAGGATTTTCCTTAGTTTGGTGCACGTCATCAATTTTGTTTTTGGGGAATATTGTAATGCCAACGTATTAACAAAATAGAAAAAAATCATTTTAAACCACGATAATCGTTGAGATTATGCGTTTATGTCAGACTGATCGATGTATTTCCCAATACACCTGAGAAAAATGAAAACCGAAAGCCTTTAATGAAAAGATTTTCTTTTTATTTTATTACGTGTCAATCGAAATTGTGGTAGTTTATGTTTACATTGCGACACGTCAAATTTGGCAACTGTTTTTTACCGTTTTCATTATTTTATCGTGTTCGGCTACGTTTATCGGTAAAAAATCATCCGTTAGTTTCATAATGAATGTAGCTTCCGTAAGTATCACTGTGAGACTCTGCGCCAAACGTTGTACTCATAACCTAAAAATGCCATCAGGTTTACCAAGAAAAAGTAAGCAACTTATTCGTTATTGAACGAGAAAGAGAGAAAGGCGGTCAACTTTTACCAGTCGCAGCACTAAGAGAAGTGAGTGATTACTTTAGTAATATAAGAATTCGTACACGTAACAAGTTTCATTTCATAGAGAGTTGCGGATGCATTAAAATAAAATGCCAAAGGTTCAATTTTTAGTTAATAATTAATATTATAAGAAATGTTAAATATTTTTTGTCTTTGTTATATAATGTGACAAACCCCTAAAAAGTCCTAAACAAGTACAAAGGTTTTTGCCTTTGCTAATGACATTTGTAGCTTTAGATTTTTACTACATGTTATATGTTTTTCTTTACTAGAAGCATCTATGGTTAAAATTTCAAAGAAAGTACACTATACCTAAACATACTACAACAAAATACAAAATTTCCTTTGAATACACAGCCCCTTGCATGTTAAATAAATATCATGTACTTTTTCAACTGTCATCTGTTCATCACTTTAAGGAAAAATTTAGAAATTAGTTGTTAAATTCACAGAAAATAGCAAATTAAATGTATAGCCAAGTACCCGCTTTGTGTTTCCAATTAGTTTAGAAATATTACGTAAAATAATTACACTTACCTATTTATAATAATCGAAAATACCAATCCTCGTCAATTTTGTAAATTTATTTCGATCAATCAATGTCTATTTGTGTTTACATGTTTATAATTTTAATTTAGATCATACGCATATAGAATATAATTGTTACTTCATTGTTGATTTTTGTTGTTTATATACACATATTTTATTCTTTCTGTATTTAATCTAGTTTTTGCATGTTTATAAGATCATTAATGTTGTTTATATAGATATATTTTATTGTTACTATATTTAATTTTTGTTGTTGCAAGTTTATAAATGTTTATATCACGTTATAGTTAGAAAGTATGTCCAGGAAATATGGCAAGTTTTTAGGCAGGATTGAAAACCGACTTTGCCGAATCTTGTCCTTTTAATTACTTAATAATCAATAAATGTAAAAAAAATATCGTCATAAATAAGAAAGTTGGTATTGACTGCGTATGCGCACGTGTAATCTTTGCAATATCAGATAGGTATGTTTGCCTTTAATATAACCATCTGTCATTAAACTTTCACAAAGGTGTCTCGATAATAATACGAAATTAGACAGTTGATATTGCGCATCCTGGGCATGCACATATTAATCTGATGTTTACAATATGCGATACGTTTACTTTTACTAAAAGAAATATCTTCATAAATAAGAAAATTGGCATTGCGCAGTCTACGCATACGCACATCTGATTTCTAGTATATGCGATATGTTTGCCTTTACTAGAAGTATCTGTGGTTAAAATTTCAACAAAATATGTTAATAAATAATAAACTTGACATTGCACCAGAGCTATACTCCGCCGAATGCAAAAAGAACGAACTAAATATCTTGAAAATTGTAGGAGTAATTAAGGCCTCGGACAGACGAACAGGCGGCCGGACAGAGAAAGAGGATGCAATATCGCATCCAACTTCGTTCGAAAATGCGCCAAAAAAAGGCAACGTAAGAAACGTGTTAACGACATTGATGGTTTCCCACAAGCAGCGATTCGGAATTCCATCTACGACATAATTGTATTGTAACGTGATTTATAAATTCGGGTTCGATTTATATCAATATTTATTAAACAAAACTAAAACACTATAAAAAGCGTACAATTTATATTTCCGCGCTCGATGTTTCGTCCGTACTCGTTCGGTAGTAGACTGCCGCGATGTTCGGTCCGCAACCATTTATACACGCAAGCAATGTAAGTCCCGAACATTCTCGAATACGCGTAGAAAATTCCAGAGCGCCAAAGGCGACGTCATGTCTGGAGCATTTCCGTTACAGTATTTTAGACCATCTTATGCTTCAATCCCTTTTGCAAGTCCTAAAAGAGGAAGACGTATTTAATGGATCCAAAAGTTCCTTAAGAAAAGTTATTGCGAATGTTGGGTTCCGCTATTAAAAAGATCAGGTGTAATGGAGTTATCCAATACTTCACTATAAAGAGTCAATTTTTTAGATGCGGGGCATATTTAATTCTTGCTTAAAAATAAATGATCAGATTACCATGGGGAAATAAATGAACAAGGATAGTTTTCATAGTGGTTCAGGGCCCATTTTCTACCAAATTTATAATTAAAGAATGTGTAGTATTATATCAATATTTAATATTTTTTACGAAAATAAGTACCTATTATACAAAAAAAAGACACCTAATCTTCTTCAGCACTGGTTTCGTGATATTGTGGATCTTGATCTTCATCACGTTCATCCAAAAGTACATTAATATCTTTAGTACGTATATCCGTATATCTTCCAATTTTTCTGGAAATTGGGGCCCTGCGTACCACCGTAGTGTATACAAATTATTTTCAGTAATCCAACCCTGGTTTTCAGGCTGGTAAAATTTAGGAGATTTTTGTATGGCATATTTCCAAATAGCACAAACCTGGTTTGCTCTTTTAATTTTCATTAAAACGACATCCGAGCATGGTGGAAGTGAGCTACTATCGAATTGCCGTATTCCGTTAAATATTTCTTTGTCATTTTGTTTGGGTTTTTATGCGTCTAAGAAAATTTCCTACCTGCAATATCATATTTTTAATAAACACTCAAAGGAAAACGCTTGGATGTTCGTTGAGTAATAGTTCGACGTTTCCAGAAAACCGACTACTCTCCATTAGACACAAGATGGTAGGTACACAGTTTTAGTTCTAATTGAACCTAATTTTGACTGCTACAGCCGCTTCTAAAATATGTAAGCCATTATAGGCTTGGAAATGCCTTTGAAGCTTCTGTACAATTCTGTTATTTCACATGGAAGAAGCGCTTATAATGTATTTCCACGCAAAATAGTATATTTCCTTAGAGTAGAACTAATAAACAAAGATGTACGACACCGCCTGCATCTGCATACACTAGATAACGAACGTCTGCAGTTATTATTAACGTAAATTCTCACCATGCATTGTGTTTATAAGATAGTTCTTTCTAAAGCAATTTTAAGGCGCCGCCGAATGAATCAATATACCTAACGCGTATGCCCGTCAACTATTTCCACTTTCGAGTATGCAAATGTCTATAAATTGATTTTGCGTTGTGCTTTCCACCGTGAAAAACTGGCCACTATCCTTCATGGTGCGAAATTGAAGCTGTTTCGGTTGACAGTTTCCGATATATCGCAAAGATATAGCAGAATGTTATACATCACAGGTGGATTTGAAAAGATGATTGATTTTTGCAAAAATATTGCGAATCAAGCGAAATGAAGGTTTTCGCGATATAAATGATGGACAGTCAGTAAAGGACATTACTCGAAAAATTACCGTTGTTGCAACGACGTATGAAAGAATTACAATCGTCCTGCATCGTTGAATGGCGACCACTTGAGTATGTAGTGAAAAAGGTATGTAACTTAATACCCGTGTTCATCAACAAATAAAAAGGAACGGAAAGCTCCCGGTCCCCCACTGATCTGAAAAAGGTGTCGCGGAGAAAAGTTATTCTATACCAATTCCTTTTGATGAGATTTTACATTTATAATACAATGAAGGGTAGAACGTGTGTTTACACCCCCGCCCTCTTTTTTGGCACTACTAG